AAGATCATGAGAGGTATAGGAGATTAGTTGGGAAGCTAAACTACTTGACAGTAACTTGTCCAGATATTGCATACCCAGTTAGTGTTTTGAGTCAGTACATGGCATCTCCAACTATTGATCACTAGGCAGCTGTAGAGCACATCTTGAGTTACTTAAAGGAGCCCGGGGACACGGAATCTTGTATAAGATTCATGGTCACACTCGGATTGAGTGTTTTACTGATGCTGATTGGGCAGGTTCCAAAGAGGATCATTGATCAACAACTGGATATTGTGTTTTCTTTGGAGGTAATCTGGTTTCGTGGAAGAGTAAGAAACAGAATGTAGTTTCTCGTTCGAGTGCAGAGTCTGAATATAGAGCGATGACACAATCAACGAGTGAAGTGATGTGGATAGACAACCTTTTGTATGAGTCTGGTTTCAAAACTCCAATTCCTGCAAAGCTATGGTGTGATAACCAAGATGCTCTTCATATTGCATCAAACCCGGTGTTTCATGAATGAACTAAGCACATAGAGATTGATTGTCATTTTGTTCGTGAGAAGATACAACAGCGCTGATCTCCACATGAGAACAACTCGGGGACTGTTCACGAAGGCTCTTACTGGAACCCGAGTTAGTTATTTGTGTAACAAGTTGGGCCTGATCAATATCTTTGCTCCAACTTGAGGGGGAGTGTTATAGAATATTCAATATATTACGAATCCTACATATTAAGAAACTGAAGATTAGGGTTTTGAGATATATGGAAACCGGTTTCCATATCAGTTGCCCCCTAGCTTGTATTTAAAGGATGGTGGACTTGTCATAAGAGGTGTGAGATAGAGAGCTCTTCACAAAGGTATTTTTCTCTTCAATCTATTAACATTGTAGTTGTCCTATATGAATTATGGAAGGTGCGGAACAGTGCGGTGTGGGAGGCCAAACTGCCTAGGCCGAGAGGAGTGTGGTTGGCAGTGATGGCGACAGTTCGGTCTTGGAGGCAGTTCAACAACACGGACGGCGTTGTAGCAGGCTACCATTTGTCAAGTACATCACCTCCAGAATCCATGGAAAACAACAGTGTGCAGCTCCCCTCTTGTTATTTTGACGCCGGATTTTATTCCTCAACAAACAGAGTTGCTTTCGACGCTATACTCCTCTCGCCAACAAGAGATTTTGTTGCTGCCATTAATAGAGCCCTGCCAGCCTGTATATGTCCCTCTTATGACGGAGACACTTGCATGCAAGGAGACATTATCAGGGTTAAAAGATCGCAGGGTGAACTTAGTTCGTTTGCATACCGATTGCTCATCACTACATCGAATCTTAACAACTTCATTGACTGAGCTCCAATCATATGTTGAGATAACTAGTAATGATTGTAGGAGCATTTTACACTATTTTTTTAATTGTCCTATTTTGTTAGTTCTTAGATTTTCTAATTCTCTAGCTCTTTAGCTCACTCGTTAGCTACAATAGCCTTTTCTCAAGCTAACTCTTTGGTTTGGGATTCTATCCCCGGATTTTGTCTCAGTTTTATTACAATAATACAAGTTTGGTTATTGCTTTTTAAAAAAATGTCCAATACTCCTAACTTGCAATAATCCAATAATACACTCTATGATCATGATCCACATTACAATGTGGACTATAAATAAATGTTATTTTTAATACTATATTGAATATTCATTTTTAATGTACTGATACTTTATTTTTAGGTATACTTAAAAATGAACATTCAGTACACAACAAATCTTTATATTCTTTATCTTTATATATAATAAAGCAGAATCTAGCCACAAAATTTTCCCTTCAAAATGTGAATGCATTTTGATAGAAACAAGATTAGCAAGTGAATGCATTAATTGTGTGGGTAGATATATTTATACATATTTTTTTGAAGTTATTATGTGTATTTATATTTTATAAATTATATTTTATTATTATAGCTCTATCTCTAATTCTATATATATTAAAGCTTAATGAAGTATGGAAAAAAGTTTATTGTGTTCAAATTTATTGGTAAAGTTTTATATTTAATATAATTTATATATATATATATATATATTCATTTAAACCTCAATTATAATTAATTTGACTCCACATATATAAAGAGGAGAAATTAGATATAAAATAAATATAGTTCTTACATAAATAATCTTTTTCAAATGAATAAGTTTTTGGTGGAGATTTTCGACAAATATCGCCTATTATTTTATTTACAAGTTTTATTTAATACATTAGTTATATAATTAAAGTAGTTATTTCAAATTCAAATTCCTTTAAAAAAATCAAATTCAAATAATAATACAAGTAACAATAAACTTTAAAATCAACACAATAATAGCATAATTAAACTTTTTAAAATATTAAATATTACATTGTATAGTTATACTTACATTTTTAATCAAACTAATTATGAGTTCAAAAACTCAAGTACATTTTTTCTGTTTCCACAAGTCCACAACCATTACTTTCTTTGCTAATTCAGAAGATGTCAAAAATTTAATTGGTAAATTTATTAAATTAATAATAGTTCGTGCATCGCATGAGACAATTACTAGTTAAAAAATAAACCTTAAAAATAAACATTTAATGTATTAAAAAAATTTCAATATATTAAAAGTAAATCTTATAACAATGGTCCACCTTATTAGGTAGGCTATAATATATCCAAAACCGCCCAAGAGCCCACCAAAACCAAGGATCATAACAGGAAAGCAAATACTGGTAAACTTTAACGGAAAGTGGTATGCCTTTACCTGCCATTGAAGATGGAAGGGAACATGGCACAACTTGTGATTAAAGTTTGTATATTGGCATTTACCCAAACGTCAGGTGTTGATCCTCCACATGCTTTCTCATTACAATTACAAAAGCAATAAGAAACAAAATAAGCCACCAAACCCAACAAAGCACATATTTTTTGTCTACAAACTAGAGTTATGAATAAATCATAAATGCCACAAATTTCTGACAGCAATTACACAGACTATGATCTATTAATACACATTCTAAATATAATATAACATGGCTTAAAGCTCCCCCAATTGTATCTCCTTGTATACAAGGATACAGAAGAAAGCTCAAGGCAGCAGTAACATCGAATACCAATACTGTCAAATTGTTGGTAAACTTTGTTCCCATCATCTTCAGCAGGTTAATCAATACGCCATTCATACACAAGCTGGAGGAACTGTTGGGCTGGCCGTCATCTGTGTGTGCTCATAATTGAGTTCCTGAAACTTCATAGTATATACAAACACGACTAAACTTATTGAACTGAATGGTGTGGATAATGTGAACTGAAACCAATCGTGTAATTCAATTTGAGTGAATCATACGATTTTGGTGGCCATGACTGAAAATAGTAATGTGCTGAATGTGTGTCACAATACTAAAATAAGATGGGAGTTACATGAGCACTAACCTCAGTAGATGAAATTTTCTGGGATTCTTCAGTAGATAGCGGCGTCTCAACATCCATTTTCAGGGCTTGTGAAATATCTGGAGTGGTGGTGACAGAGGGTTGTGCATTTTGTTGCTCCTCAAAATTTTCAATTTGTTGTTCATAAAGCGCATACTCCTCAGGTTTCTCCCACTACTCACCATATTTTCAGTTACAGGTGAAAAAGAAAAAAGAAAAAAAAAAAGAAGTCTATAATAAAAAAATAAATTCTTACCCTGCTCTCACAGGTCAGACAGTTGTAATAGTATAAATACCCATCAGGACAGACATGTTCACTCCATTCACAATCTATAAAATCAATCATCTCAGTATCTAAAGCTGACTTGTTAGCAGATGATGTAGTTGAAGGCAAAACTTGCTCCAATACAGCACAAGTGTTTGAAACTGTTTGCGGCTTGCTTCCACCTCCAGGAGACTGTGAACACATACAATTAAACACATATATAAAGCCAGATGGTTAATATGAAATCGAGACATCAGTCCACGAAATCTCTAGAGAGTTCAGCAATCCATTTAAGAAGACCATGCTCTTTTCCTTTTTTGGTTGAGAAATAAATGCTTATGCATACATACACAAACACTACTTAGTATACATTGTGCTTTTTCACAGAAAAATTAAAGTCCATTCCTAATATCATACAGTAATTAACAGATTGCAGAATATGCCCATCCCCAAAGTGATAGTTGGTAACTTGAGATACCTGCTTTGGACTTGCTGGATTTGGTAGCATATGTCCGCCAAAAGGTTCGCCCATAGATGATGCTGCTCTACATCGAACCAGAAATAAATTTAGCATCTAAAATAGTGTAAAGACATAGAGAGTGAAGGAAACAAGAGTGACCTAGAAGATAATTCTACAGAGATCAAACTAAAAGACGGGTTTAAACCAGAACATGAGAAAGAAACATCTAGAGATATATTGAGTAGATTAAATTTTGCATCCAATTTATTACATTTATTCCTTAGCTTTATTAAAAAATGTGATAGGTTTTATTAGTGGAATGCAGTACACCGGTTACTAAGTATTGATCCACACACTAAAGAAACAGGAGAAAACATTAATTTGCAAAAGAACACAACTAGTCAAGGTTAGCAGCGTCAAGGTGGACCAAAGCCCATAGTTGGCCCTAAACTGCCCCGTGATGAGGCCTGTTAGGGCTGAAACTTTTTATCCTATGCGGGCTGGGCTGCAGGTGAGCCCATGGGCTAACATTTTTTAAAAAAGAAAAAACTGCAAGGGCTGGAAACTTGGAAAGCCTTTATTCAATTCTTCCTAATTTCCCTTTGCTCCTTTAGGCTTTAACCTTGACACCTAAATCTTCATCTCACTCGCTCCTCTCTCTCCATGAAGGACCAGGCAGCCTTCTACTCTCTCTTGGAATCCAACAAGCGACACTCAGATTTGCTTCTCCGGCAAGCTCCCAACATAATCCAGCAGCTGTCTCTGCTCAAACCCCTGCCACCTCCGTCGAACCCTTGCTCCGATCTGCTTCTCCTTTCAGTGCCGCTGCCTGTCTCTGCCTCAGTTCAAATCCACCTGCTGCCACTGCTTGAACCCCTGCCTCTGCCTTAGATTTGCAGTGAAGTTCGAACACCTGCTGTTGCCACTGCCACTGGCCACTGCCACGTGAATCTGAAGTATGTCTTTTTAGGCCATCAAAGATAGAAGCTTTTGATTGAATACAGTATCTTGTATTACTTTTTTTTTTTTTTTTTTTTTTCCTTTTGTGTGTCTTGTACAAGCAAAAATTCAGTAGCTTATTGCCTACAATTGCTACTTGCTAGAAGAGTGTTTTGTTATTACTTCTGCATTACTGTTTGGCATGTTTGACTGGCAAAAACATTTTTTTTATTGTTTTGTGTTGGCCTTGTGCTTTCTAATCTTTTTTGATGATAACAAATTAGGTAATCTAATTAGTTATCAAGTGTTTTTGTAGTTGCAGATATTAAATTGAAGGCGCAAGGCTAATCAATTAAGAGTTCCAAGCTTGAAGAAAAGGAGCATACAATGGTTCCAAATTTGGAGGAAGAAGAGTTCAAGAAATAGGAACTTATTGAAGAAGGTTTAGAATATTTATATTTCATATTTGTGAGCTCAAGTATTTCTAATCCTTTCCTCCATATCTTTGATATACCTATTATTTCTCATCCTCCACACAAATGGTTTTTATAAAAGAGTCAAAATATTTTTTGAGTCAAAAGTTACAAAAAAATTTAAATCATTGTTTTAAAATGATTTCCTTCATTTGGTTTAAAAAATGTTTTCAATATCTTTATTTAGTCAAAGTGATTTCCAAAGTTGAGGTTTCCAAAAGGGTTAGTGTTTAGTGTTCAAAGGTTCCGGTGCAACTATACAGTAAGAGGCAGTGGCTAGGTCTTGACTGGGTACCCCACTCTAACCTCACCCTGGAAGGCTGAGATCAAGCCTCTTAATAGACAGTGACTGGATCCTGGCAGCGTGTCCACCCACCATGACCCATCCATGGTAGTGCAGGAATTTAAAAAAACTAGCCTTTTTTTAACAGTTGAACTCCATCTTTATATCTACATTACTCCTATATCAGCTATAGAAATGGAGATCTAATCCCCCACCAATCTCAAACCTTCCAAACTTCATTTTAACACATTTCCATAAAGGATTTGAGCTAAGAAAACCATGTTCTTCACCTTTACCCGTACCACAAAGGTTTTCTTCATTCATACTTGAAGCTATGATCTTATAACCTTTTCTATCTTTCCAAAGCTTCTAGTATTCGTACTTAGAAAGATGTTCCTACTCTTTTTACATCCTAAAACCTTTCTAAGTTCAAGATTGAGTATTAAACTATTAATTGAGCTCCAAAATGTAATATCTTTATTCTCAATCTTCTAGAGCCAAAATGTATACACCATTAGTCTATCATGGAAATATGTACAAAGTATATGAAATTATGCCATCTTTCAAATGGTGTAAACACTTGGGTGTGTAAGAGACGGGTTGTCTCAATACCAAGTGTGGCTATGGTGACATAGAAGCAACCTTGGCAACAAAAGGGTGAATTTGTTGTACCATAGTTACGAAGGGATGAAGGTCATAGAAGTGCTATTGTGGTATATGGTGCACAAGTGACCCAAAAGAAAAGGGGTCGGTGTCTTGTATCACCCGATGCTACGAATCCTACGATGGGTTGATATTTGTTGAAATGCTATCATTGAGGTGAGAAGTGCAAACCCACAAGGAAGGGTGTTCGTCGAGGATGGTAACAGTGCCCACCAAAGAACAAGCAACCCAGAAAGTGGAGTTGGAAATCCTAGGGGAGGGGGAGGTGTCCTTAGGTAGTGGAGTAGGGATTGTCGAACTACTAAAAATTCGGTGTTGTTCTTTCCCTTTCTCCTTTAAATTTATGCATACTTGCAATATTATTTTCCCTCACTTAGAATTGCATAAAATGATAAAATGGAGTTAAAAGATATTAATCACTTAGGATGAATTAGAACAAATTTTTATAGCCTGCATGCCAATCTGTGAGGCCCCCTGAACCGCATAAGGGCGGGTTAGGGCTAGAGAAAATTGACACAAAGGCTGGCCTGCAAAATTTCCAGCCCACCTCAAGGTGGGCTAGCATGCGTTGACACCCCTAGTCAAGGTAAATTTTTGAGAAGATAGAGGACAAGTACCTAGAATCTCCCAATCTAGGCTTCTTGGGGTCGGCAAAGCGAACAATCAAAGGGTGATCACAACCCTAAAAGCACAATAAAATGAAAAGGAGTTATTTTAGGTAAATATATAATTCAAACAACAAAGTAGATATGGAGCTTACCCTCATTATGTAGGTTCCATGTAGTGCATTGATGGCAGAAACTGCCATGTCTCTACGAGAGAACTGAACAAAAGCACATCCTTGAAGAAAGAAAAATACATTGACACAAAAAAGATGAAGTTTTTAAATTAGTAGAAGGGGGCATGGTGGGAAAAAAATATCTAGAATTAGGTATTGAAAAGTTATTTACAACTACAAAGCAAACAATGATAAGAGTAAAGCATTTGAAGGTATGAACAGTAGACCAAAAAACACACAATAACCATGCCACTAGAAGAGAAATAATCAGAATGCCACACCATTCTATTTAACTATCAATGATAGAGTGAAAGTCCTCACCAAAAAAAAAAAATGATAGAGTGAAAGTGATAAAATGCCAAAATATGAATAATTGTGGGGATCCCGGACACTTTCGAAATCAGTGTCCTAAGCCGCCGAGACAACAAATGGCTGCTAATACGGCTTCCACGTCAGAAGGTCATACAGTAGTGATGACAGATGAGGAGTTTGCTAGATTCAATCAGATGAAGCCTTCTTCTTCCTCGCAGTTTCCATCCAGTCAAGTGCCTACCTCCACAACGTTTGTCCAAACAGGTAATTCAGTTGCGTGTGTTTCTTCTGCGCCTCGACAGTGGGTCATTGACTCAGGGGCTTCTGAGCATATGACAGGTAATTACAATGTTTTTTCTACATATTTGCCTGTCACTTCTAGTCATACCGTTACTCTAGCAGATGGGTCTATAGCCACTGTTTCGGGTAAAGGTAGTGCTGCTGCAACATCCTCGTTACCCCTTGCTTCTGTGTTATACCTCCCAAAATTTCCCTTCAACTTACTCTCGATTAGTCAAATAACTCGTAATCTGAAATGTTCTGTTACGTTTTTTCCTGGTTATTGTCTGTTCCAGGATCTTTTGACGAGGAGGATTATTGGTAAGGGGAAGGAGGTTGACGGTCTGTATGTCTTAGAGCAGTCTACATCACTCGAGAACGTCTCTACTGGTTTGGTGAGCAATGTTTCCCCCTTTCAATTGCACTGTCGGTTTGGCCACCCGTCTTTACCAGCGCTCAAGAAGATGTGTCCTGGTTTAGAGGCTTTGACTGTCTTGCAGTGCGAGTCGTGTGAGTTTGCAAAACACCATCGTGTTCCTTATGTTTCTCGGGTAAATAATAGAGTAGATTCTTTATTCGAGTTAGTTCATTCTGATGTTTGGGGTCCGTGTCGGGTTACGTCCAAACATGGTTTTCGGTATTTTGTAACCTTTGTTGATGACTTCTCTAGGTGTACTTGGTTGTATCTCATGAAGTCTAGGGGTGAATTGTTTGATGTTTTCCAAAGCTTCTGTGCTGAAATGAAAACTCAGTTTAATAAGACTATACAATGTTTGAGAAGTGATAATGCTCGAGAGTATTTTCTTAAATCCTTTTCTACCTTTATGAGTCAGAATGGTATCATACATCAAACTTCCTGTGTTTACACCCCCCAACAGAATGGTGTCGCGGAAAAAAAAAACCGCCATTTGTTAGAAGTTGCTCGTGCCCTTTTATTCCAAATGAAAGTGCCTAAAGTGTTTTGCGCAGATGCTGTTCACACTGCTTGTTTCGTTATCAACAGGATGCCTTCCTCTGTACTCCGTGGTCAAAACCCATATTCAGTTGTGTATCCCTCCAAACCTCTGTTTGCCCTGTCCCCCAAGATTTTTGGTTGTACGTGCTTTGTACAAGATGTCCGTCCACTAAAGGGAAAACTTGATCCTAAATCTCTAAAGTGTATCTTCCTGGGGTATTCTCGAACTCAAAAAGGGTATAGGTGTTACTCCCCTGATTTGGGGAGATATCTGGTTTCGGCTGACGTCACGTTCTTTGAGGAAACTGTGTTCTCTGGTAGCGTTCCAGGGGATAAGTCGTCGGGGATAGAAGGGGATTTTCTTACTTATACTATCACTATTCCTGTACCCGCAGTGGATCCTGATTCTGGTGTCGTACCTCCCGTTACGCAAGTGTATTCTAGGCGGCCCCAAGATGTAGTGGCGCCAACGGTGAATGCTCCTCCCCTACCACAACCTCCGTCAACTGATCTTCCAATTGCCGTTCGAAAAGGTAAACGTAGTTGCTGTCATCCGCTTTCTTCCTATGTTTTTTATGGTCGTCTGTCAGAGTCTTCTCGTACCTTTATATCCAAACTAGATTCTGTGTCTGTCCCTAAAACGTTGTGTCAGGCTATGTCTCATGATGGGTGGAGATCTGCTATGGAGGACGAAATGGCAGCCCTAGAAGAGAATCAGACTTGGGATCTTGTCCGTCTCCCCGTCGGGAAGTCGGCAATTGGGTGTAAGTGGGTTTACGTTGTCAAGACGAACCCTGATGGGTCGGTTTCTCGGCTTAAAGCACGGTTGGTGGCTAAAGGGTATGCACAGACTTATGGAGTTGATTATACAGAGACTTTTTCACCGGTTGCCAAGTTAACTTCTGTGCGGGTTTTCATTTCTCTAGCTGCTGTTAATGATTGGCCGTTACACCAGTTAGATGTCAAAAATGCTTTTCTACATGGTGATTTGGCAAAAGAAGTGTATATGGAGCAACCGCCTGGGTTTGTTGCTCAGGGGGAGAACGAGAAGGTTTGCAAGTTGAAGAAATCTTTGTACGGGTTAAGACAGTCTCCCAGAGCGTGGTTTGGGAGATTCAGTAGTGTTGTTACTGAGTTTGGCATGCAGCGTAGTGCTTATGATCACACTGTTTTTTATAAACATTCTAACCGTGGCAGCATTTTGTTAATTGTCTATGTGGATGATATAGTGATCACAGGAGGTGATGCAGCGGGAATTGATGCGCTCAAGTCTTTTCTTAAGAAGAAGTTCCATACTAAAGACCTGGGAGTGTTAAAGTACTTCCTTGGAGTAGAGGTTGTTCGTTCTAAGAGAGGCATATTTCTTTCACAACGGAAATATATGCTAGATTTACTTGAAGACTCTGGGCTCTTAGGCTCGAAGCCTTGCGAGACTCCTATGGACCAGAATGTTAAGCTTGTAGCTGGTGAGGGGGAGCCTCTTGAAGATCCAGAGCGGTATAGGAGACTGGTGGGGAAATTGAATTACCTTACTATCACTCGCCCGGATATTGCCTTTCCGGTGAGTGTGGTGAGTCAGTTCATGGCAAATCCGGAGAAAATCCATTGGGAAGCTGCAGTTCGAGTTGTGAAGTATTTGAAGGGTGCTCCTGGGAAAGGAATTTTGTATGCCAATCATGGGCATGTGAGGGTTGAGGCCTTCTCTGACGCTGATTGGGCTGGGTCACCGAGTGACAGGAGGTCAACGACGGGGTATTGTGTGTTCCTTGGTGGCAACCTAGTGTCGTGGAAAAGTAAGAAGCAAAGTGTTGTGGCCCGCTCTAGTGCAGAATCTGAGTATAGAGCAATGGCTCATGTGGCGTGTGAGGTGACGTGGTTGTGTAATATCCTTGGGGAGATTGGTGTAGAAGTGAGTAAACCAGTTCCTTTATGGTGTGACAACAAAGCTGCTATACACGTTTCGAGCAATCCTGTGTTTCATGAGCGCACTAAACATATTGAGGTAGATTGTCACTTTGTGCGGGACAAGATTCAACAAGGGCTACTTTCTGCTGTCCATGTCCGAACTGGTGATCAGCTGGCGAATGTGCTTACAAAAGGCCTTTGTAGAGCCAGGGTTGAGTATATTTGTAACAAGCTGGGCATGATTAACATCTATGCTCCAGCTTGAGGGGGAGTGTTAGATGAATAAGGGTTAGTTAGAGTTAGGTGCTTATTCTTTCATTTGAATTTCAAATCCTCTGGCTGGTACTCTTCCAACCTTTGTATAAATAGGGTTCCTCTTGTACAGAAATAGATGAGAGAATACACACTGTTCTTGTATTTCAACATTTAACATAAAATATCTTATAATTTCATTCAAACTTGCAGGAGATTGAATTCAAGAGAAAAGGAGAGATTACCCCGGCTTTGCTTTTGTTCATCACGGTCACGCACAAGGTAAATTGATTCAACAATCCCATATCGAGAAAATACCTGGAAGAAAAGCCATCAAACAAAACTCAAGACCATATACTGTCTTTAAAAGATAACAAAGATCTCCATATTGTAGTTTGTTATGTCAACAAGAAACAAAAACTATGGTTAAATAGATTTGACTCAGAAAATATGTCAGAGGCCATTTACTCATATTATGCATAAAAATTTAATGATATTCCATATATTTACCAGCCTCACAAGAAAGTTTCATCACATACATTTGCAAATGGCATAAAAACTTTTTACTTCTGATAGCCCATTTATGGTAGCTAGTGATAAGATAACCATAATATAATGTATTAAGCATATTGAAGAGTCACGGCATAAAACTGTTCAGCGTATGCAAACACAGCAGAGAATAAAAAAGATGTTTTAGAATACTTGTTGCATACTTCATCAATTTCCCTTTTAGAAGTTTGTCTGCTCATGCCACCAACATATAGTTTGTGTATATGTTCGCCAAAACTGCCTGCAGTTATACAAGCAGATGAATATGAATTTTATAGTGCATATAGAAGACTGCCATACTGCAGCATAGACAATTTCACACAATAAACAATTGAATTAATATGCCATGTCAAATTTCCATAATCATTCTACTTGCACAAAACATCGTATATTCCTCTTGAATCATTTACACATCAGCCTAGGATTCAAATACCAGCACATACCTTGAAAATTAAATACAATTCCAAACTGCAGTGGACCGACCAAATTACTTAGAAAATTTAGCAACAAATGAACTATCACTAGCAAACTAAGCAATCTTCATCATTAATTGATCCCATAAACCAATTATTTCGGTAAGTCAACTGTACTTGTCTTCATTCCCTACCCAATCATGATGAAAGATCTACTGAAAGGAAATCTGGAATCATGAATCCACATATCTCCAAGCTCCAGCCCAGTTTGCTGAATCCATCCACTAAATAAACAATTATGGCCTGAACGTCAGTAATTTAAGTCAACTTGGAAGGGTGAAATTGTACCCCAAGTGGAATCAACAGCACGAATCCTTCTTTGTCCATGTTTATCTTCAAAGCTCTACATCCTTTTAGGAATAACTTGAGTCTATGGAAATTCTCCTCCTCTCTTTATGGCCTTAGACTATATCACTTGTTGAGTTATTGAGGTAGCCTCAGAGTTGACAGTTACCATATTTTACAAAGAAAAGTATTACTCCCTTCACCCCATTTTGTAATATTTAATTTAGTATTTTTACAATACAATTTTTTGTAATATTCACTTGAGTATCAGTGAATAATACACACACACACACACACACACACACACACACACACACACACACACACACACACACACATATATATATATATATATATATATATATAAACTACATTAAAAGTTATATTAAACACAAAAAGCTATATTTTGAAAGACTTACCAAGACGTTCTCGTTCCCCCTCAGCATACCTAACTTTTAATGGACACTCAGCCTGGAAGAAATAAGCATATATCAAATAACAGGAAACAAAAATCTCCATATGTGAAAGCTAAAACATCTTAAGTTCACATTTGTGGAAAAACCAACCCCGGGGAAAGTGTACCGATCATGTAATGCTACAATCGCTCGATCAGCATCTTCCAGTGTTCTATACTTCACAAAACAACTCTCTGCCAAGTCAGCATACAACTAAATCATGCACCAAGGAAAAGGCTAAGATTACCTAATTTCTTGGATATAGAAAATGACTACAAAGACCACAGTTAATATGTATATCACACATGAATAACTAAAACGTACAAAAATAAGGCAACAATTTGGCTTGACAAAAGATTGTCCAAAGGACAACAATGAGTGAAAACATATTTCTAGGAAGCAACATCAATATTTTTTATTAGTAGAAAGCACACAAATAGTATCAAGGAAATGCATAAATAAAATGAATAAATGAGAAGAATCAAGTTGTTTCTAAGAAAGAAATCATATTCCTTTGTGTGTTAAGATAGAGGAAAAGACTACAATAAGTTGCATTTTCCATAACCTAGCAATTTTTTATCCTTGCAACAACTGCATAAACAACCAAATTTACGCATCAAATAGCACTTGACAGTTGACATGAAAATGACAAGTACTTGGCTGAAAGATTCCACTTATAAAGCAAATGATCAGTGACAATGAAACAAGTCCAAAAAGATAAAGATGTTTGGGACATTTTTATACCTTGTTTTTGACCAATCTTTTTATCTCTGAGGAGAACAACCTCAATAATATGTCCATATTCACCAAAAACACGTCGAACCTGGAGTTGAATGAGGCTGCCAACATTAATGCTCAGGAAACATTCTGAAGAGCATAGACAACAGAAATAGAACAGAAAAAGGTGTAATGTTCCAGATTCTAGACCTCTGAAACTTACAACAAACCAGAACTATGATCAATGATGTACTGATGTCTTCAAAATGTTGATAAAGTTGAGACTCAAAAATCCATTTACACATATAGGTCAATAGGTCTATGTAAAAGGACATGATATCAATATAAAAACCCCCAAACATGAATAATATCAGATGTCAAGAATCTTTCATGCCAGAAGTGAATTATCAACACTAGAATAAAGTTTTATAATCAAATTGTCATTGTGTAAGTCATAAGTTCATAACATTAGAGAACTAAGCTTAGGAATTATGCATATACATAGAACTGCAGTAAAACCAAGATAAAGGAATAAACCAATTTAAGGAAAACATATATAAATAAGGTTTTGACCAAAATAAGTTACCTCCCAGACTAACTGGAAAGAGATAACTAAGTCAATCCGAAGAGATGATTGCGTTCACTTCTGTAGCAGGAACATTATTGTTTATAGCAACAAAATTAAATGTAAAGATGTTATCTTGGACCAAAAAGTTTAAACTATATTTATCATAAATGTCCAATAGTTCAATTTGTTTATACACATTTGCTAGCATCCATACAGATTTAATGCACAAAAGGCAACAATGGCTGTCAAGACTAGTTGGATTATCTACTTAACTGAATACAATATAACCTCATTACTCCTTTATTCAACTTCAATATATTAGTTTCTGTGCATCTCATTTTCAATAAAACAAATTAGCTCTCCTGTTGTTAAACTTCTTCAATAAAACACATTAAAAGCAGTAGGAATAGCATATGTATAATGCTAGTTGAGAGCTTAATAACACTTACATCTTCTTCTGTAGTTGTTCTTGGAACACCTGCAGCATATAGTTTAACGAAACCCCCACCTTCCAATCCATCTAGAAGGAAGAAAATAAAATAAAATACACTGGCATTAACTCAAAGGAACGAAACTCTACCTCCTACTAAGAACTTAACAACTAAACTGAAATAAATATATGAAATTTAAAATGAGTTTTAATTTATCATACTACAAATTAACCACTTGAAGGCAAAATGTAGAGCGTGTAGAGTACAAGAATATTTTTGCAATTTTGTATACCAGAAAAAGGCGCTGGTTGTGAGTGGGAAAAAGGTCTTTTACGCCCCGAAAGCGGCAAAGAGTGGGCGAAATTGCCGGTGGCGGCGCCATCAACGGAATCATTTGGCTCGAGGTTGGAGTTTTGGTGGTGACGGTGGTCAGAGTGACTGTAATGGTGATCATTCTGCTGCTGCTGGCGGCGCTGATAGTGGTGGGCGTCGCCGGAAAAATTTCTTCGGTGATTTTCGGTATTGTGGGTGATGGACTCGTCGGGAGGCCACGACGGCGCCGCGCAGTAGGAGTTGCGGTGAAAGTCGGGGTGATCGCCGGCGAATTCTCCGGTGTTTCTATTGTCCATTTTTTACTGTAGAAAACTTATGGGACTGGAAACCAAAGACGCTCTGAAAAAGATGTATTCCTAATTTTAGCAATTAAGGTTTCTTATTACAGAGTTATTACAAATAAAATTGCCGGCAATTATTAAAAACTTAGGTCTAGGAATAACAAAAGAGTTGGCAATACGGGCTGGCGAGGTAGGTCGGGTTCGTTGACAGGCCTAGGTTTTATTGGCTCAGCCCGTCTCGTCCTTGGCCGGGAGGCAAGGCAGGCCTCACCACAACAAATTATATCGTGCACCGCGGTGCATAATTGATTATGCACCGCGCATCAAAACGACGTCGTTTTATTTAATGAAAAGAAACAGAATTCGTTTCGCGCTGTTCCGCACCGTTCCGCAAAAAATCTTCAGTTTCAGTTTGTATACACTGAAGTTTCAGTTCAACACAACTACAAGTTCATTTTGATATAACTACAATTTCATTCAATATTTATACACTCAAATATGTGAAAATGTTATTTAGTTTTATTTTATATACACTATAGTTTCATTAAAACACAACTACATGATCATTTCGATATAATTACAACTTTATTGTACAATGTACACTCAAATACATGAAATGTTATTCAGTTTCATTTTATATATACTGCAGTTTCATTTCACCACAACTACAATATCATTTTGATATAACTGCAGTTTCATTTGATAATATAAAAATAATACGTGAGGCAGTGTCGGTTAGATACATTGTAGTGTCACTCTGTTAACACTACCAGCATGCCGTTTCTTTACTTAAAGAAACGACGCCGTTTTGATGCGCGGTGCATAATCGATTATGCACCGCGGTCCACGATATAACGACTGTCTCACCACACCATTTTTTTTTTTTGTTCTTAATTCTTAAGTTGATTTTTTGAAAACCAAACCCTGGACTTTATATATTACTAATGTCATTACAAAGAGCATGAAAAATAAAAGGAGGGCCAGTATCAAACCAAAACCGATGACCTTCCAAAAGAGCAGCATCTCTAGCTAATAAGTGAGTCACAGTATTAGCCGAACGCTTTACAAAACAGAGTCTAACATTTGAAAAAGAAATTAAAAGAGTATTAATATCCTGAAGTAATAAACCATATGCAATTGAGAGAGAATTTGTTGAGCATCCGTCTCTACAAGAACATCATCGTGGCCTCGACCCTTCAACCAACTTAACGCCTCCCGGATAGCCAAAGATTCAGCCTTCTTTGGTAAGACAACCCCTCTCTTTCCCACTTTCCCAGCTGCGACAATAATTTCCATGTGATCACGAAGCACCCAACCCATTCCGATCATATTTCTGTCCTCACGGACTGCTACATCAACATTTAATTTCAATAAATTATTAGGTGGTGCATTCCAAACTCTACCCTCTCCCCCGAATTCATTCCAGCCCCACCCAAAAACTCCCTCACCACCTCCACTCCCGTAAGTATCCCAGAGAAAAATGAACCACCTCCCTCGGAGGAACTAACATATTTTGCCAAATTTTCTTGTTTCTCACCTCCCAAATACCCCAAAAAAACATAATGAGATGGCCCAATTCTCCCCTGGAAAAACGTTGAAAGCAACCCTCTAGCCATTCCCAAAAACCACCCTCATCCCCAACATCCCAACACCAACCGTAAGCCCCCCAAACCTGCATAGCATAATCGCACACCATAAAAACATGGGCAACCAACTCCCTCTCAACACCACAAAAAGCACACAAAGTACCACAATTCACACGCTTTAAAGTAAGAGCCACCTTTGTAGGTAAAGAATTAGAGCATAGACTCCAGAAAAAACATTTGACCTTGGGCGGGATATGTAAATTCCACATCTTAGTCCAACTACCCCCATTCACGCCCCCACTCTCCCCCACTAATAGACGGTAAGCACTCTTGACAGAATAATGCACATTCCCTTCCCCATCCCAATAATGAATATCTATCCCTTTTGACAAAGAAATGAGAACTTTCAAAATCAAATTCATGTCTCTCTCGCAAAATAAATCATTTAGAATCTCTACATCCCACCCATCCAAAACATCATTCATCAAGCAATTTACAGTGGCTGTAGCTATAGAATCAAACATAGGAGTAATAACACATGGATTTTTCCGAGAGGGCAACCAAGGATCGCCCCAAATCTTAACAATTTGCCCCGTGCCCACTCTCCATCTAACCCCCTGCTGAACCTCACCCCAAGCCTCCCAAACATTCATCCAAACATAGGACGAATCCCTCCCTAACTTGGCATTATAAAAATCCCCACCCGGATAGTACCTAGAACGAAACACCCTAGCTACCAAGGAATCAGGTCTATTTAAGAAACGCCACCCTTGTTTCCCTAATAACGCAATATTCATCTCACGCATCCTCCTAAAACCCATTCCCCCACATTTCTTTGATAAACATAAATCCTCCCACCTTTTTCACCGAATACCACTCCTTCCTTCCCTCTTCTCACAACCCCACCAAAAAGAATTACAAAGCATTTCCATAGCAACACACAACCCCTTTGGTAACAAGAAAACCTGCATTGCATAATTTCGAATAGATTGAAGAACAATTTTAAGCATGATTTCATGCCCAGCCCGAGACATGTACCTATTGGTCCATGATCTAATCCTAGATTGTATACGAGAAAACCTGCATGGCATAATTCTTAAGTTGTTAGTTTATTACTTTGTTAAATTTATCATACACTTTAAAAATAATTAAAAGGGAAAATGACATCTTTTACCCTTAAGTTATATGCTTATAGTACTTTTTTCACTCGAATTATTCATGTATTCACATTTTCCCCTCAATTATTATAAAAGTGGCGGTTTTCTCCCCTAATATATTAAATAGACAGTTCTACTCTTAAAATAAATATTTTATTTATTTCTATTCTTCAACAAATTATTGTTTATACGTAGGGATGACCACGGTTCGGTTTGAACTGAACCGGACACTATAGCAATCGAATCAAAATTTTTCAGTTATGATTCAGAACCAGAACCCAATATTTGGATTTCTGTTTATTAAAATCGTGAACTGAAAAAATAATGGATCTTAAACCATGAACCGGATGTCCAAATCGGAACAACTACTAAGATTAGCTTAAAATTAGAATTATAATATTTACAAATAGTGTATGTTCTTTTTCGCATTTATTCTGATTTTCACATATAAGTATATATAACCGCAATCTGGTTTTGATTTTGAATCGTCAGTTCACGGTTTCGGGTCCAATTTGAACTGATGGTTCAAACTTTCTTTTAAAATTTTATTTTTTATTTTTAAAATATTCTAAATTCAACAATTAATGTATTTTATTTTTTTTCAACTCAGAACATGAATTGACAATTAAGAGTAAATATGTCCATTGAACATATTAGGGGGAAAAACTGCCACTTAAATAGTTCAGGGAGAAAACGTGTTATAAGTATATAACACAGGGGGAAAAAGTGTCATTTTTCCTAATTAAAATGACTTGTTACATAACTAACATAAGACATAACTATGTAGTCTAATGGTACCCGGGTTGAACTTTCATTTGGAAGGTTGTGAGTTCAAGCCTCATTCGCTCTTTGTGTTTTAGTAGGTTAAGAAAGTATATGAACGAACATAGTTCATCAAACATTATATAGGAATTGGCAGAAAATTCAAAAATTTTTGACTTAAATTGTGAAATTTTCTGGAAGTATTTGGTAACGAATTTTGATACAATTTTTTCGAGATATGAAGTTCAACAAGTCTAGGACCTATAAAAAAAATTTCATATCAATCCAAGGTCAAGAAATAATTTTCTCAAAATTTTCCCTAAAACTACTTTAGACAAAAATTTTTTGGACAGCACACTGCCAAGAACTTAGCGAAATTTTCTGTGATTACTGGAACATGTTTTCAACCCAAACATTTTATGGATATCAAGTTATATAAGTCTAGGTTCTCCAAAAAAATTCAAGCAAAAAGGAGTCCAGGAAGTATTTTTTTCCAAATTTATTTTTTCTGACTGTGACAGGCAGAATTTACTCGGACAATAAATAAATGGTGGGCAGGCCCGCCATGCCAAGCCTGCGGGGTGGGCCAAAAAAACCCGCTCCTTGGCGGGCTGTTATTTTCGAAACTCACCCCTACCTAAGTAGGGGCAGGACTGGCCAGCCCAACGAGCAAAACCCGTTTTGACGGCTCAATTACAATGTGTGTTAAATTTACATGAGTTGACACATTAGTGACACATGCAGAGCTTACAAGGACCGGTCCAAGCATATTATTGGGCTTGGACCAACATAACACGATCTTTTATATGGAACTTAGGGATGTCAATGTTAACCCAAACCCGATGAATTGGCCCGATAAAATCGAAGTTGAAACCAAATAGTCTTAAATATTTTAGCCCGATAAAAAGTTAAGCCTGATAAACCCGAAATCAATTAGTCTGTGGTCCGAATGGGCTAGCCCGAAATTTAGTGGGCTATCCCGATAACCCGAACTGGTTAATGTTATTCTTTATTATAGGAGTGATGTGGAACATAACATACATAGAGTTTATAAGTAAAACTTATCATTAGTAATTTTTTTTTGATTAAAATTTTAATAAATATTTTGCAAAATAAATTATTTTTTTATAAAAAAAAAAATTACAGATTATATTATAGTATAAGTATTTTAATTATTTTTAGATGGAATATAAAAATGGAGGTTTAGATTGATTGAATGATTAAATGTGTTATATAATTATGTCTACAAATCTAGTAATAATAAAAATTTTATATATATATATATATATATATATATATATATATATATATATATATATATATATATATATATATATATATATATATATATATATATAATCTCTACTATCTACTATACTAATAAGAGCCCAAGAGAGTTAGGCCTATAATGGGTAGAAAAAATGGCGGTCAAATTTTTTAATCAAATGAATGGCTCAGATTGATCAGATTTTAATTTTTCCTTAAGATTTCCTAATTTATCCTTAATGAATATGATTATCCGTTAACTTTTCCGTTAAATATTATCTTTTCCGTTAATTTCTGTTAGTTCACCGTTAACTTACCCATTGATTTCAATAAGAAAGGTCTTAGGTTCGAACCTCATCCCAATCAAAGTTGGCATAATTAATACTCTATTTTACTCTTTTTAAATTAAAATAATAATTTAGTTGCTACAACAAAAAATAATGCATATGAATTTCTTTAATTTAGAATTATGTGTCTACAGTGTCTTTATTCAAAAAAAATTATTCATTATCAATAAACTAAATAAGAGAAATAATTTCATTAGTTATATTGTCTTTATTTTTCTCTAATATAAAAATTTTTACATTCAAATTCATCAATTGATTATATTCACTACATTGTGTCATTGTCCCTATAAAGTCTTTATTAAAAAAAATTATTCATTATTAATAAATTAATTAGGATAAATAATTTTATTAGTTATATTGTCTTTATATTTCTCCAATGTAAAAATTCTTTACATTCAAATTTATCAATTGATTATATTCACTACATTGTCTATTATCATTTTTTTGTGTACTATTTTTTAATTAAATATCAAAGTTATAATACAAAATAATGCTATATATTTATTTACCAAGTATTTTATTAATACCATGAAAGAATAAAAAAAATATAATTAATAAAGCCAATCATATTAACTACTTGAGGGATTTGTTGACAAAGAGAGTATTCAAAAACCTAACATGGTAGCTCAAGTGGTAAATGAGCTCTCTTTGTGGGGGAGAATTTCTGGATAATCCGGGTTTGATTCCCACAAGTGACGATTCCCTTTGGGCCAGCTTTTGTGCCTCTCGGAGCGAACTGGGTGGACGGACAGAGAAAGACCCGGACCACGTTGAGAACTACCTCGCAATGTCCTTGTTTGACAATCAGCAGTTGGCGATTAGCGTTAGCGGATTGTTTAGATTAACATGTAAAATGACCTAAAGGTATACATATATTTAATAATTGTTTTTAAAAAATTAAAAAAATATATAATTAACGGTGAAAATTCTTTACATTCAAATTCATCAATTGATTATATTCACTACATTGTCTATTAGCTTTTTTGTGCACTGTTTTTTAATTAAATATCAAAGTTATAATACAAAATAATGCTATATATTTATTTACCAAGTATTTTATTAAAATCATGAAAAATTAAAAAAAATATATAATTAATAAAACCAACCATATTAACTACTTGAGGGATTTATTGACAAAGAGAGTATTCAAATCACACAACAAATTGAAGTGAGAACTACATCGCATTGTCCTTGTTTAACAATCAGCAGTTAGCGATTAGCGTTAGAGGATTTGACCAGCGAATTATATCAACTGTTGGTAAAAAGATATTTGAAAAAAAATTAGCAGTTTAGATTAACATGTAAAATGACCTAATGGTATAATAATAATAATAATAATAATAATAATAATAATAATAATAATAATAATAATAATAATAATAATAATAATAATAATAATAATAATAATAATAATAATAATTTTTGAAGAGAATAATAATAATAATAATAATAATAATAATAATTTTTTTTATAAAAAAATATAATTAAGCCAAACATCTTATCTACTTGGGGAATTTATTGACAAAAAGAGTATTCAAATCATATAACAAATTGAAGTGAGAAACCACCTCGCAATATCCTTGTTTGGCAATCAGCAGTTAGCTCTTCAATATTAGTATATATTTAATATTTTATGCCCTAATTTTTATTTGCTCTCCCTTATGTCCAATATTTGATTTCAACCATACCTATTCAATTATTTTATTGACAATTATAATCAATCTTGACTATATTATCTTGCATTTGTAAACTTAGAATTACATATTTAAATACACAAATTTAACATTCAATTATCTAAGAATGAACAACTCCATATAATCTTGCTTTGATATACTTTAATGTATTTATCTAAAAAAAAAAAACATTGGGCATTATCCCAATCGCGCAATGCGCGTAAAAAACTATATATTTATATTTTAATAAAAGTCAATAAAGTTAGGCCCTAACGTGAACAAAATAATTTTGGTGTAATTATTTTGTTGAAATGAATGGTTCATATTATTTTGATTTTAGTATTTTTTTAATGTTTTTTCTTCTTTACCATCTATTATATTATTTTCTTCCATTAAATAATCCCGCATTCCGTTAGTATAAACTTTAGTAACGGAATATTCCGTTAACTATCTATTATTCTTAACTTACTCATTAATTTCTATAAGAAAAATCTTAGTTTGAACCTCATCCCAATCAGAGTTCGCATAAATTGTTAAATATATACTACGAATATGTTAAAAATGTCAATAAAGTTACACTCTTAACGGGAACTAAAAAATGTAGGTGTAATTATTT